ATGCTATGATGATTTGAACTTTGTTTCCCTATTGGTTTGATCGCCGATATGATGGCATCTAACGTATTAGCTCTATCTGATCCATTCTCTTCACTTTCAATTCTCTGTTAAGCAAATATTTATCTGATTAGATTTGTTAAGCATAAATTGTCTTTGTAGTGTCGCAATTCTCCTTCCAACCTCTTTATTGGATAGAAACAATCATAATGTTTTGTGAAATTTGAAACAATTTTAACTCTGATTCTTGTTCAGTACATCAGAAGTACAAATGTGGTGGATACAGTGCCATGGAACTTGACTACAACTTGACTAAACCTCAAAGACATCAGGGCTACCAACACCCTAACCAAAAGATTAGTTCTTTACAAAATGTCGGGACTTTCCAATTCCTGGAGAAGTCTATCTATCTAGCTTCTTATGAGTTAAAGACTCTAATTTTGAAACCTCGACTCGAACGAACACACAGTACCAGAGAACCTAAGGCATCAGAGAGCATCATCCAACGTTAGAGCAGGAGCTCTGACAGCCAACACCTTTGCCTCCTCTTTCTCTAGAAGAGCTTTTACGTCTGAACACTTCGTCAATGTTTCTTCTACTTCTTGCATCCGAGCCACACCAATCTGCTCTTCCTTCTTCTTTTCCTTTACTTCCTCTAGCTTTTTCTCCAACCAATCCACCTTATGCCCGAACATTTCAGATAACTTAGTGAATTCTCTGCTTCCACCAGATCATCATTTGAGAGCTCATCAAGTGACTTGCACAGTGTCTCGATTAGGCCGAGGAAGACATACAAGTATCCTGACCTCAGAGGTTGGTTCTTTGCTCGGAGTTGTAATGCAATGTCTGGATATTTTTTTTAAAAACACGGCTCACAAATTCCACCTACAAATGAAAACAAAAAGATGAATATAGTTAACTCTCATATGTATACCAATCAAGAAACTGAAGGCTAGACTTTTAACAACAACTAAGAAGCAAAGTATAAAGTCTCTAGTGGTTAAAGTTTCTACAAAGTTTGCATCTTTACCTGTGAAGGAAGCACTTGAAACCCATTGACATCATTGCTTTCTTCAACTGATGAAGTTTCTTCTTCTAGCTTTCTCTTTTTTTTGAGGTTGGATTGCCTCATTTGGTACATCAAATTCACCAATAACTTCAAGAACCTCTATCTCGGCAACAATCTTGACTACTCCGTTCACCATAAACCCAACATCTTTCCCATAAAGTTTGGAAAAGGGAATCATTTCCAAGAAGAAAGCGGCGGGAGAATCCTTATCAAACCACATGTGTTTCTCTGTAATTTCACGAAACATATAACATTCATTCCACAACACAACAACCAAAAAAAAAAAAAATCATAAAGAAAATAGAGAAGCGTAGAAACAAAATGATCACCTTTTGACTAGGGAGAGTTTGTCTGAAATCTGATTTACTAAAGTTACGGAAATTTTGCTGTGTCTTCTCCATCCACAAGGCAAAGTTTTAGAAGTAGGAGCCAGCAGATACACAGTCAAAGAGCTTTTACCAATGTCTCCCTCGGGAAATATCAGAAGAGCCCTGCAACATTGGAAAACAATTTCATGTACTCTACGAAAAACATTAGTTGACAAG